CGTCGGGTTCGTTTCCGGGGTTCGGGAACGTTAGGGTCGAAGGACGTGCAGGACCGACGACACAATATAATTGTTAGTGTTTCCGTACATATGAGGGACGGTGAACCAGGTACTAAGAGTTTAAAAACAACACCATTCGTGGCAGCATAAACACGGGCCTGCGTGCTCGCAGCAGCGTGTCTGTGAGAGCCCGGAGCGGAGGCGGACCCGCGACAGAGCCCTGGCCAGCCGTGCCGAGGGGCTTGGTCCCCCCACGGCAGCCATGCCGAGCGCGCTGGCCAGGCGCAGGGAGCACACTGGGACTCCACTCATGGAAAATCCTAGAAAATACCAACGAATTCACAGTGCCAGGGCACCCAAGCATCTGCCTAGGAAGGGGGAGGGGAAGCGGTGGGGGAGGGCTGCAGGGACCTGAGACCCCTCCCCATGCTTCCAGGGCAGTGGTGTGTAGGTGTCAGATGGGGCAGACACCGTCGGGGCCACTGTGTCTGAGCGTCCGTCCGTCTCGGTCGCAGAGCGTCAGCTCGCCTCTGATGAGGAGGCTGGCCCACCTCAAGCTCAGCCTGGCGGAGCTCTGTCTGGACACCCTCCAGCAGACAGGGGAGGAGACCCTGGAGCGGCAGCTGGAGCAGGGCTCCGAGGACAAGCTGCTGGCCGACTACCTGCAGAGCCTGCTTGACTGCACGCCCGTCGGCCTGGTAACTGTCCTGGACACACCCTGGGCCCCGACCTCGGCCAGGCCAGGGCCCCCACCCATGGGAGCCGTCGTGCTATGCGGGTCTCCAGCCCGGGTGCGGTGGGAGCCTGGGAGGCTGGACTTCACAAGCCCCCCGAGATCTCTGACCACAAGGCCCCGAAGCCTGGAGGCCTGTCCGACAGCCTAAGCGGCCTGACCGGCTAATGAAACCCGGGTCCTCGTGGGGGTGTTCCCTGTGCATGGCCGGCCCTCCTTCCCGAGGCCCGAGTTTGCTCCAACTGGTCACGTCAGTGTGGTAAGGGGTCCGCAGAGGTGAGCCACAGCCTGTGAAAAAAACATTTTGCAAAATATTTGGTTTGAGGAGACATGTTCTGCCATTTGGACGTTTTCTTCGATGTCATGATCCAATCAAATTAATCTGCCGTAACTCCAGACGGACCAGCGTGGTCCTGAAAGGGGGCCTGATATGAGCTCGTGTACGTGTCAGTCAGCGCAGGTGAAGGTCGTGTCAGCAGATGCCAGACCCACCCCCGCACCTGGGCCTGGAGACCCTCCCCACGGCGCGGGGGGCTTGGGCGGCTCCCGGGCCGTAGCGGGTGGGCCCGTGGCGTTCCCCGGGCGGCCTCGGGTAACTGCGGCACCGGTGTCCCTGAAGAGATGGCGCGCCCTGAAACGG